AAGTAAGGGTTTATATAAAAAACAAAAAACGTATCATAACAAAACAATAAACAATCACGTGATCTCGTGTTATGATACGAGATTTTTGTAAAATTATTTTCTAAAAATATTAAGTTTAAAAATTCCGTATACATTCCGTATGATTAATTTTTTCCGTATACATTTCGTATACATTAGTTTTTTTAAAAAATGTTCAAAAATGAATTGCTTATTAAATATACGGAATTTGTATACGGAAACTATAGAAACGTACATAAAATGTATACAAAACGTATCCTTTCCGTATACATATTTCTTATAGGGAATTGTCTGGAAAAATTGGTTAGATAGTGGGAAAATTGGTTAGATGCATTATTTATATTTATTTAATTTGACATGACGGACAAATTCTGGGTATTTCATAAATCCACCATGATGATGTTGATATTATTTATATATAAATCCTTTTTTTTTTTATTCTCATCAATAATTTATTTAACTATTACCTTGACGTAATACTATTGATCATTTTATCTTATTATTTCTTACGATTATTAAAAAATTTGTCGTGTGACGCATGTAGCTTTTTTCAAGTTACATCGACTGGCGTTTAGAAAGAATGACACCATAAAAGGATTAGACTACATTAAATTGGAAGGTAACAAGAGATCGGCACTCATTTATTATTATTAGATGCATGTAATCCTGCCTGGCATTATCCAAAAAAGGAATGATCTATGCGTTGTTTTGGTAACGATACGCAAACTCTGTATCATGTGTATTTTGATCACGAACATCTTAAAGCGGTATAAGGCGGTTGAATTTTGCATAAGGTTTCAACTATCGTTGAAATTGATAAACAATTTTTTAAGAATGTCAAAAGAAACGAAAGAAACCGACCCTAAAGAATCAAATTATTATATCGATTGGTTAGAAAAATCGATTGCAAATGAATATCTCAATTATTTCGAATATTCTGAATTTAAAAATTCAGAACTTATAGGAAGTGGTTCACATGGAAGTGTCTTTCGTGCTAATCGAAAAAATGCCGGAAATTTTTTCGCTTTAAAAACTTTTAAAAATTATGACAATACAATGTTAAAAGAACTTGTTAATGAGGTAATTAATCTATCAGTTATATTATTTTCATAAAATTTCACATGTAATTAAAATATGGTTTCTTTTTCCAGATAAAATTACAAAAAAGAGTTGACTTTCATGAAAATATTATACGATTCTACGGCATCACGAAAGTGGAAACTGGTAAGTTTCAAGTTTAAGCATGCGTCACATTAATAATCTGGTTTAACACGCTTTCTTTTTTATCCAGATAAATATTCGTTAGTCTTAGAATATGCCGAAAATGGTACACTAAAAACTTATTTAAGTAACCATTTTAACGAACTTAATTGGGTTGATAAATATCAGTTGGCATTTCAACTAGCCAATGCAGTAGAATGCTTACATGATTGTAACATTATTCATCGTGATCTGGTAATAATGAATTAATTTTCTAATTTAATAATCGATTATTTTATTATATTCGTTCTAAATAAAGTTCTCTTTATAATTAAGCATGGAGATAATATACTAATACATCAAAAAATGATAAAGCTAACAGACTTTGGTTTATCAAAAAAAATTTCTGAAGCATCAAGTAATACATCAAAAATACTTGGTGTAATACCTTTTATTGATCCAAAAAAGTTATATGAACAAGGTTACAAATTAAACAAGAAATCTGATGTATACAGTATTGGAGTTTTGATGTGGCAAATTTCAAGTGGCCATCAACCATTTTCTGATTATGATTATGACGTAAGTTTGTCCTTGTCCATAGTAAATGGAAAACGAGAAAAAATTATTGATAATACTCCTATAGAATATAGTAATTTATATACAGGTAATAAATATTCATAATATTTTAAATTTATTGATTCATTGATTGAAAGTTTAATATGTAATTTATTTAACCAGAATGTTGGAATAATGATCCAGATGAACGTCCAAATATACAAAATGTTGTTTCTATCCTTTACGAAATAATATTTCTCAAACAAGAAGATATAACTAATACTGTTAATGTTAATAACGAAAAAGAAAATAACCAACTGGAAAAATGTGAAACAACTTCTAAATCAATTGAAACTATGGATTTAAATAATGAATTGATATCATATACCGGATTAAATATAAGTTGTGAAAATAATTTATCAAGTACATCAATTCAAACAGACATTTCAAAGATTTCATATGGGTCAACATTTGATAAGACTAACAATATAATAGTTCAAAAGTTAATTAAGGTTATAAATAGAAAGCATGACAAAGAAAGTATTAATTTTCAAGATTTTCAACAATTTATAAATCAACAAATATTAGAATTAAATCAAAGTTCAGATAATCTTGTTAGGTGGCTAACTAATCAAGTTAATCCACAATATATTTATTTACTTGGATTACTTTATTATTATAATATTGGTACTGAAGAAAATAGTACAAAAGCATTCAAATTATTCTTAAAAGCATCTGAAGACAATTATTTGACTGCACAAGTTTATCTTGGAAAATGTTATTATGATGGATTTGGAATTGAAAATAGTGAAAACTTGGCATTTGATTGGTATCGAAAATCTGCAGAGAATGACAGTATTATTGGACAATTCTACTTAGGAAAATGTTATGAACATGGCATTGGAACTGCAAAAGATATTATAAAATCAGTACATTGGTATAAAAAAGCAGCTAAAAGTGGAAATACGAGTGCAAAGCTTTGTCTTGCAGATTGTTATAGATTCGGAAAAGGAGTCGAAAAAAATGAAATTAAAGCATTTAAGTATTATGAAATCTTGGCTAAACAAGAAATTTCAGATGCTTAATGTCAACTTGGAAATTGTCATTATAATGGAATTGGAACAAAAGCAGATGAAATACAAGCTAAATGTTGGTATGAAAAAGCAACAAAAAATGGAAATATTATTGCAAAAGATAATCTTAAGAAATACTATAATAATAAAACTATGATTAAAATAAGTAATATCAAAGAAATTAAATTTCAAAAAACAAAAATTAATATAAATATCATTAAAGAAATTAAATTTCAAAAAAGAACAAGTTTTAAAGGTTTCAAATACTTCATGACTAAATTTACAAAAATTAATCAAGAAAATATACTTAGCAAAGTTCGGATAGTGGCAGAAAATAAAAATAAAGTTTTGTCATTTGATTTAATTAATTATAAAAAAGATAAAGGTGTAAGAAAAGATGGAAGAAAAGCTTTTGAATTCCATAAGTTTTTAGCTGAACAAGGGAATGTAAATGGAAAATTTCAACTTGGCTATTGTTATGATGAAGGAATTGGAATTGATATTAATAAATTAAAAGCATTTGAATTATATAAAGTAGCAGCAGAAAAAGGAAATAATGAAGCACAATACAATTTAAGTCTTTTGTACGAATTAGGAGAAGGAGTTGATAAAAATGAAGAAAAAGCATTTGAAATAATCAAAAAATTAGCAGAAAAAGGAGATCCAGATGCAAATTATAAACTTGCTTACTATTATATTAAAGGAATCGGAACTGAAATTAATAAACCAAAAGCATTTGAATTATGCAAAAAGGTGGCTGAAAAAGGAAGCAATGAAGCACGATTTAATTTAGCTATATTATATCAATTTGGTGAAGGAGTTGATAAAGATGAGAAGAAAGCATTTGAATTAATGAAAGATTTAGCAGAAAAAGATGATATAAATGCGCAATTCAAACTTGGACATTATTATGATAAAGGAATTGGAACTGAACTTAATAAATCAAAAGCATTTGAATTATATAAAGCAGCTGCTGAAAAAGGGAATATTAATTCACAATTTAATTTAGCTATATTATATCAATTAGGAGAAGGAGTTGATAAAGATGAGGGAAAAGCATTTGAATTAATAAAAGATTTAGCTGAAAAGGATGATTTAGATGCTCAATTCGAACTTGGATATTATTATGATAAAGGAATTGGAACTGAAGTTAATAAATCAAAAGCGTTTGAATTATATAATATAGTAGTTGAAAAAGGAAATAATGAAGCACAATATAATTTAGCCATGTTATATAGACTTGGAGAAGGCATTGATAAAAATAAGGAAAAAGCATTTGAATTAATAAAAGATTTAGCTGAAAAAGATGATTTAGATGCTCAATTCAAACTTGGATATTATTATGATAAAGGAATTGGAACTGAAATTAATAAATCAAAAGCATTTGAATTATATAATATAGTAGTTGAAAAAGGAAATAATGAAGCACAATATAATTTAGCCATGTTATATAGACTTGGAGAAGGCATTGATAAAAATAAGGAAAAAGCATTTGAATTAATAAAAGATTTAGCTGAAAAAGATGATTTAGATGCTCAATTCAAACTTGGATATTATTATGATAAAGGAATTGGAACTGAAATTAATAAATCAAAAGCATTTGAATTATATAATATAGTAGTTGAAAAAGGAAATAATGAAGCACGATTTAATTTAGCCATATTATATCAATTTGGAGAAGGAGTTGATAAAGATGAGAAGAAAGCATTTGAATTAATGAAAGATTTAGCAGAAAAAGATGATATAAATGCGCAATTCAAACTTGGACATTATTATGATGAAGGAATTGGAACTGAACTTAATAAATCAAAAGCATTTGAATTATATAAAGCAGCTGCTGAAAAAGGGAATATTAATTCACAATTTAATTTAGCTATATTATATCAATTAGGAGAAGGAGTTGATAAAGATGAGGGAAAAGCATTTGAATTAATAAAAGATTTAGCTGAAAAGGATGATTTAGATGCTCAATTCGAACTTGGATATTATTATGATAAAGGAATTGGAACTGAAGTTAATAAATCAAAAGCGTTTGAATTATATAATATAGTAGTTGAAAAAGGAAATAATGAAGCACAATATAATTTAGCCATGTTATATAGACTTGGAGAAGGCATTGATAAAAATAAGGAAAAAGCATTTGAATTAATAAAAGATTTAGCTGAAAAAGATGATTTAGATGCTCAATTCAAACTTGGATATTATTATGATAAAGGAATTGGAACTGAAATTAATAAATCAAAAGCATTTGAATTATATAATATAGTAGTTGAAAAAGGAAATAATGAAGCACGATTTAATTTAGCCATATTATATCAATTTGGAGAAGGAGTTGATAAAGATGAGAAGAAAGCATTTGAATTAATGAAAGATTTAGCAGAAAAAGATGATATAAATGCGCAATTCAAACTTGGACATTATTATGATGAAGGAATTGGAACTGAACTTAATAAATCAAAAGCATTTGAATTATATAAAGCAGCTGCTGAAAAAGGGAATATTAATTCACAATTTAATTTAGCTATATTATATCAATTAGGAGAAGGAGTTGATAAAGATGAGGGAAAAGCATTTGAATTAATAAAAGATTTAGCTGAAAAGGATGATTTAGATGCTCAATTCGAACTTGGATATTATTATGATAAAGGAATTGGAACTGAAGTTAATAAATCAAAAGCGTTTGAATTATATAATATAGTAGTTGAAAAAGGAAATAATGAAGCACAATATAATTTAGCCATGTTATATAGACTTGGAGAAGGCATTGATAAAAATAAGGAAAAAGCATTTGAATTAATAAAAGATTTAGCTGAAAAAGATGATTTAGATTCTCAATTCAAACTTGGATATTATTATGATAAAGGAATTGGAACTGAAATTAATAAATCAAAAGCATTTGAATTATATAAAGCAGCAGCTGAAAAAGGAGATATTGATTCACAATTTAATTTAGCTATATTATATAAATTAGGAGAAGGAATTGATAAAGATGAAAAAAAAGCATTTGAATTAATGGAAATCCTAGCTGAAAAGGATAATATAGATGCTCAATTTATGCTTGGATATTATTATGAAAGAGGGATTGGAACTGAAATTAATAAATCAAAAGCATTTGAATTATATAATATAACAGCTGAAAAAGGAGATATTGATTCACAATTTAATTTAGCACTTTTATATCAATTAGGAGGAGTTGATAAAAATGAGGAAAAAGCATTTGAATTAATAAAGGATTTGGCTGAAAAAGATCATATGGATTCTCAAATTCAGCTTGGATATTATTATTCAAATGGAATTGGAACTGAAATTAATAAATCAAAAGCATTTGAATTATATAATATAACAGCAAAAAAAGGTAATAAAGTTGCACAATACAATTTAGGTGAATGTTACGAATTAGGGAATGGTATAAATATAGATGAAATTAAAGCATTTGAATTTTATAAGAAATCGGCTGAAAATGGATATGGAGGTGCAAAATTTATACTTGGATATTACTACGTAAATGGAATCGGAACTGAAATTAATAAAGAAAAGGGGTTTGAATTATATAATGAGGCAGCGGGCAGCAATATCCAAGTTAATCTTATTGAAAATGACGAAGAAATAGTAAATAATTTGGACAAAGTTAATTATTGGTATCATAAAGCTGCAGAAAATGAAAATAAAATTGCATTGTATAAATTAGGTGAATTTTATGAATTGGGTAAAGGTGTTTGTCAAAATGAAACACGAGCATTTGAATTCTATAAGAAATCAGCTGATCAAGGGTATATAGATGCTCAATACAAAGTTGGGTATATTTATAATTATGGAACTCAGATTATTATTGATAAAGAAAAAGCATTTAATTATTTTACAATGGCTGCAAAAGGAGGAAATGTTGATGCACAATACAGCCTTGCATCTTTATATGAACGAGGAGAAGGAACTGAAAAAAATACTGAGAATACCATTTATTGGTATAAGAAAGCTACAGAAAATAGATGCCAAGAAGCTGAAAAAGGTTTAAACTTTTTATTAAAATAGATAAATAAACAAAAGTTCTAAAAAATTTTATTTATCTGGAATCTTGATTAGACTAGTTGCCTAATTATTATTACAGAAAATGCAACAAAAAAAGTTTTCATTAAATTATTAATAGTAATTAGTACAATATGTCATATTTAAATTATTGCTACTGTATCATTTTTACTATATCTAATATATTAATATACGCCATTTTCAAAAAAAAAGAAAATTTTGTAAATGGCTCTCATAATGTGACTATACTAGCATTAATTGTTACAATATGAAGCACGTAATTAAATAATCTAGTAATTGTTGAAACCTTTTGCAGCAAGTGTGTGGGCTAAATCGCTTATACTCATATCGATAAAGAATTATTAGTTAATTAGAATCTTCTCTCCTGGTCATATTTAGAAATTGATGTTATATTATGCCCAGATAAGGATTATATTTATTTCTTTAAACGTCTAAAAAACTTTCTTCTATTATTATAATTTGTATTCACCTAAATTTTTTTAGTATTAAAAATAAAAGAAATACATTTAAGCCATATTTGGCTTATCTGTATTAATTTTTTAACTGATGCAGTATTTGCAATTTAGAAGCGAATTTGTATTCTTAATTGTTCTTATGTTTTGATCTTTAAGCGACATACACGTGTAACTATTGGCAATTATTTATAAATTCCAATTATTTAGCTATTTTATTTAAGGATATAACGTTTATCTGAACCTCGACTCGTTAAAATCTATATAGGCCCATTTTTAAATTAATATATAATGATAGAATTTAAGAAATTCGTAAAAAATATAAATCTTACCTTTCTTCCTTCCTTCCTTACTTTCATTTTAAATAAAGTAAAAATATTATGTGTAATAAATAAAAAAGAATAAAAGAATAAACCATTATAAATATAACAAAATGAATTATATTAAAACTATCATATTCGCTTCACCTGTTAAAATATCCCACCCCATTAATTATTTATAACCAGAATATTATAAAACTTGAAATATTGGCGTTGAGGATTTCGTCTTATTCCTACCGTGATATATAAGCATGCGATTTGTAATGTGACAATGTGCTTAAATTGCAAATTTATTATATATAAATCTTTTTTTCTAGTTAATTAAATATTAAAATTTTCTTACCTTCATTAATCGTTCGTTATATTATCCCTATAAAAAAATTTTATCCGTTATTTCTGTAAAAATGAGCCTTTCACGGAACCATTCGCGGAATATGTAAATAATTCGATAAATTCCGATGACGGAATATAAAAACGGATCGACTTTTTTACAGGGTATATATTCCAAGAATCAAAAAATAGAGCTCATTTTTTTAAAATCGAAGTTTTTAAGTACACCTACACCATTTAAATCAGAAAAACAAGCCAGAAAACCCTAAATTTTCCATGTATACACTATAATAGAATTCACGTCAAATGGCGTCACAATGAAAATAAATTATCTATTATAAATGAAAAAAAAAAGAAATACTAACTGCGATACGAGTTAAAGCAGATTTAAATTTTCTGTATACTTGATATTTATTTTTATTACCGGTAAATGTATTTCTGTTCATTTTTATAAGTTTCAGAATTATCAAAAATATCAAAATTAAAATCATATCGTAGAGGATAAATAATCCTCACCAATCACATCAGATCAGAGATATGTGATATCATTTTATGTATTGCTGTGTCAACATGAGGTCATACAAAAAAAGGCGTTAAAAAGCATCAATTTTGACGATCCTCTCATTTTCCAAAAAAAAATTTTTTTTTCCAGCATTTTCTTACTCTTTCGTACAAAAAATGGATATATCAAAACAAATAAGAGAAGGTAATAAAGATATGAACGAAAAGGAAGTCACCCGTCGTAAATTTAAGGTATATTTATAATACTTTGTTAATTTTTAAGTCCTTAATGAGTTTCAATAACCGCAATAATCATTTAAAAAAACCATAATTTCATTACTAGATGATACATTCTAACTTCGAAATTTTAAACAAACCTTGGTGGAAGAGTTCCTATGATGAACGAAATGTTGAATATTTTATCTCCTCAATCAAACATTTACAACACGTCATATTATTATCACTTTCTGATCATGAAAATAATGAATTATTTTGGAAGGGATACCTCGATCTTAATCATGAACGTTATCTTTTAGAATGTATTTCTTCTGAATGTGACGTTGATCTCACAATTGAATTTGTACAACAGCAGTTAAAGAAACCTGATAGATCTTTACGTTTGGTTAAAAAAATCCAAAATCTTAATGATGCTATTACTAGTATTTTCCCATCCAAGTTCTTTCCCAAACTTTCAATTGATAATTTTACACCCTTGCTTGCAAAACAGTTAAATCAACATATATGCAATGGATTGATCGATAATGCAGGCCAGTATAGAATAAAATACGTTATGCCAGCACAAGAAAACTTTGTTTATATGTCTCCATATTTGATAGAAGACCGTATGAATGAACTATTCCGTCAATGTCGAGAAAAATTTAAGAAAGAAGATTTACAGCTGGAGGAAGCTGTCAAATTTGGAGCGTGCTTTTATTCTCATTTCTTAAGTATCCACCCTTTTATGAATGGAAATGGAAGAGTAGCGAGGTTACTTTTGAGTTATCTCTTATCAAGATTCACTGCGGTACCATTCTCTTTATATATAGGAACGAAAACACGAGATGTGTATTTACAATGTTTGCGTGAATCAAGATCATTCACACCTAACGCACTTGCAGCTCTTATACTTGAGAGTATACACTTATCCTTCTATAACATATGTTCAGTTATGGATTTAGAATTAACGTTAGAGCCAAAACAATCATGTTGTAAAGAAATATGGAGATAAATAACTTTTAGAGCAAATTAAGAATCTGTCGTGATTTAAAAAATTATTGTAATTTTATTTACGTTATTTTTTTAAGAAAAAAAATTTCTTTATACACGCTTCTTACGTCATAAAAATTAGTCTCTGTGTGTATCATGCTCGTATTTACGTTTATTTTGTAACAATTGAACAAATTGGAAAAACCGGGTAATCTTATTGCAGGATCATGTGATTAAAATCTCGCTAACGCCGCTGTTAGGAAAAAAAGCAATGTGATCATTGAATTTTAAGATTTACTCATGTCAAGAAAAATTCAATTAATTCAATATAAACGAGAGAAAAATAGTTCAGAATTTTATTATTTTAAAATTTTGGTAAAATTTGAACAGATAGATGATACCGGCAAAAATAATCATCATATTAAACAATTTACGGAAATCAGATAGTTTTTTTACGAATTTATCATCATTACTGTATCTCAAGTCCCAATAAACAATTTTTTAAGAACAAGAATATGAAAATAAAGTTTGTTGAAGAATATTAGTTGAAAAATTAAATTAAAAAAATACCTAAAAAAGTTTATTTTTTATATTTATCATTATTAAACAAGAAAAAAAACTTCGATAACAACATAATTTCGTTAATAACCTTCAAAATGGGAGAAATAAATTAAAAATGTGGATTGTTGATGTATTAAATATTACAATTCTTTAGGATTATATCAAATACTTTCATTTTAAAATTTTTTTATTAAAAAAAAAATTCTAAGATTGTGTGATGACTCGGATCAATTAACACATGACGTCATGACGTTGTGCTTTTTATCCGCTTTTTTATTACATTAACGGGATTCCTGAAAAAATAAGGTGAATAAGATAAGAACTTTCTAAGTAGCGTAAAATAGATTTTATTTGAAACTCAATCGGTATAGTCACGTGATTACATCTTTTTTTCCTTTACAACCTTAAAAATTTAAATTAATATCTAATTTATATTCCTAATAATAATTTAATTTTATTGTTAGGTTAAATTTGAAATTAATCAATTGTATAAAAATGGTATAAATCACTATACATAAAAGGGTAATAATTATGATAATCCGGGTGAACATACAACTTTGTAACTCTTTTTGATGATTACAATTACTAAAAAAAATTTATTAATGAATTTAACGTAAAAGTATAATTGATGAAGGAATAAATTTGTTTATTATCACAAAATTTGGGTAAAAAAATTTTTTTTTAATGTAAATCCTTCCTTTAATTATTTATAATGAGGAGGTTATATCCGAATCAATTTGACTAAAATTGGTAATAAATAATAAGATATGAAATCCCTTCAAAATATCATGCCACATTTTTTTTTTTTTGTCAACATAAAGTCAAAATATGTAAAAAGGAATAAACCGATGTAAATCCAGAAAAATCTTTTATCTATAGTGGCAATAGATCCGAATAACTTCTTAATTACTTTAATTAAAACAGTAATATATAATAACGACGTTATCAAGATTTAAAGTCTGGGCTATGATGCAAATTTTTCTTCATGATTATAATTACTAAAATTGGCTATAGATTACATATTAATATATAATTACTAGGAATGTTTAGAAGATTGCTGATAGAAGAAGATCGAAGTTTTTGGAACATCTTGTTTGCGTATTGCGAAAGAAAGAAAAAAACATATAAATAAGCACTAATTTCGCTCGATACTTCAACCAAGTTAATCAAAATGGCTACTAAATACTTTGTTACATTTAAAAATGAAAGCACCCAACCTTCTGTTGTTCAATTCTGTGTTTATCAACAGTATCCCGACCTTCCTGGCTTAAAATCAGTTGCATGGAAAAAAGCCGGTGCATATATGGGCGGACAAGCAACTGTTGAGTGGGTTATTACCTATTCAGCTGTTCTTAGTAATTATAATGATGAAGGAGGTATTGGTATATATGCTAGCAGTCAATCAATTGGAGCGGATTTTAAAGACCAATTTGATATCACCGATGAAAGTGTAAGAAATCAAAGTTTTCGAATATTTCTTAACGCGATAAATTTTCTTTAATAACTTGAAATTTTGAACATTTAGGGCATTCAAGTTGTCAAGAAATCAGGTACCTCAGGGCAAGATGGTACCATCACAATTACCAACAAATCTAATGAAATGGCTAACGTCGGTATCGGAATGGATGATTCATTGTCTTCGGTCATTCCTAATGTTTATGGAGGAGTTGAGGAGGTTTTCCAAATCACTCCAACCTATTTTGTTGCAGCATATGAGAATTTGGAAATAGGACAACTTATTTCCGATGTCGGAATAATTGGAAAGCCTCTAACATTGCAATTTCCAAGTGGAGTCACAAAAGCTACTGTAAGATTGATTCAAGATGGCCAGAAATTAAATCTCAAGATTGAGTATTAATTCTACGAGTAAGTTTTTTTTGGAATAACAGAAGGAAGTTTACTGAACTCCCTACTTTGCTGCGGCAAAAATTATCTTCTCGTCTTTTTATATCATTATTTCCTTTATAGTCTATATTTTATGATTATATTTCTTTTTTTTTATTCGACATATGAAATTGTTGACAAATTTGTTATATTGAAATTTGTATTTTTAAAATTTATAATGTCAAACTAACAATTTAATAAAATTTGAAGCTCTTTTGATCTTTTTTAACTAACCGTTATTTTTATAAGATATTTCAATTATGCATTAAAAATTACGTGGATTAAAATGTTGATCGTATTAACTATAGCTTTTTTACGTCTTTTTATCTAGATAATTACATATGGTAAAATAAAAATGTGAACGCACTAAATTTAAATTATAAATAAATATATGGTAAATAAAATGAAATTACAAAGACTGAAAATAAAATTTGTTGAAATTTTTAAATAAATTATGTTTAACAGCTTTAGTTCTTATTTTTATTCCAAATTACATTCACGACCAGAAATTATAATTTAAATAAATCATAAACTTTTATTCACATGACTAGTTTATATTTAAACATTAATAAATTTAAAATATATGTAATTTCATAATGAACAACGTTAACACGAACCTGTTTTTAGAATAGACAAGGTGAAACATCAATATTGTAACTTTTTTGCAAATATTTAACTCACCCAGTTTTTTACTATACATATTGAAACTTAAAAATTAAAATGGGACATATATTACTTTTAGGCTAATAAATTTAATTCGAACTATGATAATTACTTACTAACCGTCATGGTATTTAGGCATCCACAAATTTTGTTGAGTTATGACTGGAATGATGGAAATGTTTATTAATTAAATCCCAAAATTGAAGATGATCTAAATTCTTTATATTCCTTATCGGGAAGGATTAAATTCAATATAAATGAAAAGAAAATTCATAATGTGCTGCCATCGGTTCAAATAAAGTTATAGTAAATTGTTTATTTTCTGCACTTCAAGCATCAATTTCAGAAAATGCATATAAACAACATAAAGAAATGTTTTAACGCGCTTATATATTCATATTTCTTTGTTAATTTGTAAAAATTAGGTATGGGAAACGAAATTCCACGTATGTTTGATCTGCTGATAGTGTTAATTTTAGCCACAAAATTCCATTGACCGACTGATCATTTTTTTAGATTTGTAATCATTTGTAATCATCCGGACCATGTCTTCTGTCGTTATTATATGTAATACGAGCTAATTCCACGTCAGATCCAATGGGCGAAAATTAGTATAACCTAAAATTTTATCTGTCAACCCTCGGAATTATTTGCCCGAATAATAAGATCAAGTCCGAGTTTGCGCAAAATAATCATGTAGATCTTGACTTTTATGGATAATCCGGGTCAAATTTTATTACTTTTTTTAGGTAATGACAGACACTATCTTAATTCCGACCCTGAAGAAATGCGTACAACGAAGGACCTGATTTCCTATGGGTCTTAATGGCGCAGCGAGAGACCTAAAGTTGTTCATGTGTTACCGTGATACGAAATTTAGACTTTATTATATTTAGTAAGGACAAAGAAAGGAATAATTAAAGTAACGCAAAATAACGCCTTTTTAATTCTACCAAAACATATAATAAAATGGATAAATTCGTATATTTAATAAATAAACTCGTATAATGTTTTTTAATAAATAAATTCATATAATGTTTTTTTTTAGTTTATATAATATTTTTTTAATAAATAAATTTAATAAATTCGGGTATATATATTTTTTTAATAAAATCCGGATAATATAGATATATATTTTAATAAAAATTCGGATATATCAGATATATTTTTAATAAAATATGGATACATATATATATATGTATATATTGATAAATTATTTCAGCTAATCACAAAAATTGGCCTCCTGAACAATATATACGAATAATAAATATTTCCTTGATGTTAATATATGGTTAGCTCTCGGATTTTTGATGCAGATCATGATCAAATTTTTTTTTTTTTGTTCTATATAAATGACCATTGTTCATAATATTGAAATATTGATATCAATATCAATATCACAAAAATGCGTGATCTGTATATGGCGTCAACGTATTACGAGGGTTGAAGAGGGTCAAAACATATTACAAGACAATACAAGCTTGCTCTCATGTTTTCATGAAATATTGAGAGAAATATGATATGGCTATACTTCATAGCCTTTCCTCACTATGGTATATATATCAGTCAAACCTTATGGTTTGAACCTGCAAGAAAATTTCTTTCTTTCGCTACACCGCCAACAGCCGATGAAGAAAACGTATACCAAAGTTATTTTCGTGAAAAGTTCTTGTCACAGCTAGAAGGGGATAATTACGTCAAAGCTGTTGACAGGCATTCAAAAAAATTTCTCGAGTTGTTACTTCAGATAATGTTGATGGTCTAACTGTGCTGAGTCTGGTGGCCTATATATAAAGGTATACTGTGTTTTGTGGTGAAGAGTGGTCGAACTGGGCCTAAAGCGTGATCGTATTATACTGTCCTATAAATATGTGCAGTTGGTCTAATCAGGCCTATCTGTATGGCAACAATGATGATACAATTCATTCATTCATTTTTTTATTTCAAAACAAGTTACAAGACCAGTAAGGGTAATATCCTAATGGGGTGGCGGAATTGATTTAATTGGAGTAATCGTCTTATTGAATCTGGAGCTTTGATAGTTCAGAAGGAACCTATGTTTTAATTGTTATTGGACAAATAAAAGAATATTGTAAAGAAGATATTTCATCAGAAAAATATGAGGAGGAGTAAAATTCGTTGTCCAATGCAAGAATTTTACAATGGACAAAGTAAATGGCTACCTTGTTAGAGATTTATTATCTAATACTAAAGTCAATAATTATTCAGGGAGGATTATCAAATTATCCTCCTGATACTCTAGGAATTTTTATTACACAAAGTCATCACTTGAGTTAGCAAGAAGTTCAGTTTATAATATATTACTACTAAATATAACAAATTTTAATTAAACGGTTTACATTGTATGTGAACAGAAAAGTAAAGAAGCGCTCAAGTGATGACTGTGATATCATTACGATTGAAAATACCAAATTCGAAAATATTGAAGTTGAAGAAGGCTCCACTTTATCCTTATTTGGAATCGAAATAAAGGGCAAAGTGATCTTAAATAATATAAAATTCAAAAATGTAACAATGAAACAAAGAAATCTTTTTTTAAAATTTTAAATTTAATAAAAAAAGTTATTTACTTTCTAAAAGTTAATAAAACAACAATAAAAATATGCTTATTGATGTTACTTTTTTTATTAAAAGATATTACGAAATTTTTTAAAGCTTTAATACAAAATATTGTACAATAACAAACATTAACAGTCATTGAATAATATATTTTCTCATTTACATTATGTAAGCGATCTATTCGCAATTTTTTTTTTACAATAGTTCGTAAATAATAAAGTACTGTGAAATTTATAAATTCATTACAAAAACAATTTTGTATAAGTAGTTTATTGTTACATTGTTACAAAAAAAATTTTTTTTTATCTTAAAAAATTCCATTGTAGCTTTAAAAAATTACATCCTCTAGAAAAGAGAATCTCACTAATTAATATGAAAAAAAAATTCTCAGAAAAATTAATTATAACGATCTATTGTCACAAAAAATAAATAAATACAGTAAGTAATTGTGTTAGTCTATTTATATTGGGCTTGATACAAAAATAATAATATTATTATTAATAATAAGAATCGGGAAAAAAGGCAGTTGCCGTGACGCAGCAACATTGATCTGATCACCGATCCAAACCTAAATGGTGAAAGAATGTATTCGGGAAAAAAAATTCGGTTTTGAAAGAAAAAAAACCAAACCAAAAAGGAAAGGGAAAAAATTTTTCGGATTGGAAAAAAGCCAACCGGAAAATAACAAAAAAAAAAAAATTTTGTGGGGAGGGACAAAGAGGAAAATCGGGTCAAAAAAAGAAACCGAAAAGGAAAAAGAAAGAAAAAATAAAAAAAATTCGAAAGAAAAAGAAAAAAAAATTTGGGAAAAGAAAAAGGATAAAGAAAGAAATCGGTTTTAAAAAAAAAAATAAGTACCGAAAAAAATTCTGAAAATAAGGACAATAATTTGGTTCAAAAAGACCGAAAAAAAATTCAAAAAAAATTAATAATATGGTCAAAAAAAAAAAACTAATAATAATTTTTCGGTTTTGGAAAAAAACCCAAATCTAAATGGTGAAATGAAAAAGAGGAAAAAAAACGAAACTTTTTTTTTTTTTAAAAAAAAAGGAAAAGAAAAAGGTTGGTGCTTTGAAAGAGAAAAGAGGAAATTTGAAAAAAAAAGAAGGAACCATTTGTAAAAGATCGTTCCAAGAAAAAAAAATGAAAATTAAAAATAAGGGAACCGAAAAAATCCGATTAAAATTTCATTAACTGGAATGTACATGACTTGCCGATCAAGCGGGTCTTAACTATAAAGAATACGGATCAGCAATTCAATTGGGGAAAAAAAATTCCATTATTCTAGTTGATTTGTATTTTTTGTAACTAGAAAAGCCATTTTCATCGTCAGGATTTTGATAATAACAAGAATTATCTAGATTGGAGTAATGATAAGAACCGCCAGAAACTGGTGTATCTCCACGATGAGTCTCTAAACCCTACGAAAGTTTTCACTTATCTAAAGACCTGGGATACAAAACATTTATTTCCTTAATCATTAACGTCTCTATAAACGTTATCGTTACTATTTGAAGGTTAAGTTTGAGAAGAAGAATTATTATTTGAAGTTGAGAAAGTATTAGGGTTTGTAGACATGATTTTGTATCACAAATTATTTGAATAATATTTTTTTTTTCGTTTCTTACCGTAAGTAAGAGATTTTATGATGGGATAAAGAAATTTTCACACGTTCAGTTACAAAAAAAAAAATAATAACCCCTAATTACACATCATAAAACAGGAAACTCGCTTTGTACAATATAACCAAATTGCGTTATTGATTTTATAGAATGTTTAATATTTTGTAGGCGATGATTTTATTATTACACATTGTTTTGATCACGATGTTCTTTCATATACTGTAATAAGTAACTTAGTTAATTTATTGCATAGAATATGACCATTATGATGTTTCTAAAAAAGTTGTGTTAGCGAGTTACACACTTACACTTGCGCGAGCAGAATTGTGTACCTAGTGACATAAATGTACTTTTATAAAAATTTCATTGATAAAAATTTTCTAAACTTACTAGATATGGTTTTTACAATCAAATTTTCTATAATCAAAATTTTAAAAGTACCCCCAATGATGGTATGCGCAAAAGTAGTCGTTACTGCCTATTCTAAAATGATATACAGCAGTACATACGTCGTGAAAAAATAAATAAATGAAAGAATGCATGTCAAAAAAAAATAACAGAAACTTCATTATCGAAAAATATAATACTTAAAATTCTTCGTAATAAGAATTTCCTTTTCCATCGGTATAAATATTTCGAACCGTCGGAATTTTGATAATAATCATAAGAACCATCTTTGTTGGAGTAGCGATAAGCACCGCCGGATGCTACTGAATTCCAAGATATTGAATCCATTTGCTTCCTTTTCATTAACGCCACTATAATCGTTATCTTTATTATATGAAGGTTAAACTTGAGATGAAGATGATGGAGTGTTATATTTGAAGTTGAGGATTTATTTGAATCTGTAGACATTTGGATAATATTTTCGCTTTTTATTGTCAAGCAAGAGATTTTTTTTAAAAAAAAAAAAATGCTCGTTTCTTTATTGCATGTAAGAGAGAAACAATTTATTATTTAATGAAATTATGATGCACCAATAAGGAAGCGTCAAAAAAGAAGAAATGGCATAAACAAAAGCGTTTTTCCATGTTATTATTATAGAATTGAGGTTAAATGAACAGTAGTCAGTAGGGTTAATATATTACTCATTAGGGAACATCGAAGATAAAGGATGTGGTTTTTTGACTGCTACGACAGATATTGTATCACGTTGGGAATTACTTTATACTATCATACAATTGCATAATTATTATTGATATTTTTCCTATACTAAATAACATGTAAAAGTTAAAAAGTTAAACTGGAAATAGTTCAATCAATAGTTTATCGTATTTTTTGCTTTATGCAAATTTTTTAGTTGAGCTCTGTTTTGTTTCTTTTTTGTTTTGTATTCTTTTCGGTTGACTATTTATTTTGTCAGCTCAATTTTATACGTTTTTTATTTTTATTTCCTTTTCCTTCTCATTTTTCTTGATCTTCATTTTTTTTTTGTTTTTCTTCACCCTTAATTCTTAGAGATGCTTGCATGGGATGTAATTATCTTTGTTTTCGTTATTTTAACTATTAGAAATGATCTAATTAAAAATAGGTTCGTTTATACTTTTTATAAATATATAAAATTAGAAATATTATTACATATATATATATTTTTTTTTGTTGCTTCAACAATATCTAATGACTGTTATTTGTCTTTTTTTATAGCTAAAAAAAATTGTAATTGTTATATGCAGTAATACTTTTTTCATTCTTGATAAATGAACAAAATTAGCCAATCGAAATATTTTGAAATCACGTGATACAATAAGCTAATAAACGTCCTTTATTTATATAAAATGGATAAAACTATGAAACATATCAAATAAAAATCCATAAATTATTAATTTAATTATCAATTTTAAAACGCTTTCCTACAATAAATCAATATATTAGCTGTTATTCAATATTATTATATAAATTAATAAAGCCTTAATATTTACCTTGATCTGAAGTTTCAATTTGTAATACTTTAGTAATATTACGCTTTTTTGATTCACTAATAAAAATTGTATTTTATTAAGATAAAATAATGCTAAAATTAGAAAATACACACTTAAAGTTTGTACAGTATAATTTAATATCAATACCTTATTTCTATATCAAGATCTTGTTCCTTAGTATTATATTTAAACTGATTTTAAAATTAACTATTCATAATATCATTTTATATAATTCAGTAACTTACCTCCATTGTCTTCAATTAATATATTATCTAAAATAATAAAAAATACCTATTAATTTCAAACATAAACTTTTTTTTGAAGCAAATAATACATACCTTGTTTTATACTAAATGATCTCATTGAAGATAAATTAGAAATCATATGGCTTAGTGGTCTACTAGTACTGTATATACAGCACCAGAATGTGGTTTTTCACTGAATTCAGGACCAAGTTGTTTCAACTGTATTAATTCTAATCTTTTTTGTTCTGCCTGTTTGAATATTTCTACATATTTATTCTTATGATACCAATTATTAAAACCTTCTATAATTTCAGTAATTAAAGGTCTTTTTGAAGGATTAGAATCCCAGCATCTTTTCATTAAATTAGCAAAACATTCAGGAGTATCTTTTGTAATTTCAGGTTGTTTCCCATCAATAATTTTATAAATCAGATCAACGTCATGATCAATATGAGCAA